CTTGCATGGCTATCACCAATTATTAAAACTTTATTTGTTGCAGATCGAGCCATTTTCTGTAACTGCTTAACCTTTTGTTTTCGCTTGATGTTATGATAATCAGGTGCCAAGTGTTCTTCTTTTAGGTACTCTAAAATTGCACAACAATTTACCACTGTTGGAATCTTAAATTGTTGATGTGAAACGGTGTCACTTGTTTAATGTCTTTTACACTGAGAAACAATTTTCCAGTTTGATGAAGGAGATGCATCACTACTTGTATTAGTCACTGAATTTATCTATTTAACAAGTGTATAATCAATACTGCCTACCTTAACGGATAATTGAACTTGATCTTCTAAAATTTTCACTATTTCCATCACCGATTTCAATTCACTAACAACCCTCCTCAATTCGTCTTTTAATTTTAGACAGAACAAGAATGGTGAATTAACATTGTCCTTAAAATTTTCCATATTTCTTACAGTGTACTTGCACTCAACACTCTCAGGGTCAGCCATATTAGCTATAAAACTCACTTCTCCATGTGGGGATTCATTTCATTTACTAACCTTCCATTAATCATGTCTAGAGTACATGCTCATGCGAATGTGGAGATCGTTCTAGTTATTTTACAGGTATTTTTGCATATAATAATACTAAGCATCTAAAACCTGTCCTTATGGCATAGCTAGAGGTGATTGCAAGTTAATATATAACAAAGGAATTTTTCCTTGCAAATTAGAGTTTCCTTTAACCGTGGAGGTTGTGTTCTGAGTATGCACTGAGCATGTGAACAAGAATAAGCTTCATAAATCATTTTGATTAAAAGTGATCTGAATGGATTCCAAAATATTTTATTTATATATCTTCTACCATCCAAAATATTTTGGTCTCAGAAACACTTCTTTTTGTCCATGAGTTTGTCGCTGCCACGGCTATAAAGCAAGGTTTGTGTGCTGCCAACATTATTCTACGAGTACTATACATGTATATGTTTCCGTGGTCTGCCATATACCACGTTAAGTTCCTGCCTTTGACTTATTATCCTATAGAATGCAGTTGAAGTGATACTAATTGTACTTAAGTGTGTAAGAATAAATGTGTGTGAAGTTATTTGTTTTGTGATATACCCAACATGGGACAATATTCTTTCAATGTATAAAATGAATGGCAACACAAAAAAGATCCTTCAAAGTCGATTTAAAACCTTTGCAATTTTTGTATAATTGCTTTAAGTACGAAGGAAGATTATTAAACATCTTTATATCCATATAGCAAGCTCCCTTCTGATATAGTGATAGATGAGCTGAGGGTTGTGTAAGAGTTATGGGGCTTCACGTTTCCTCGCGTTGTGTGCTACTCTTAGCTGCTCTTTTGCCCTGTTGTTATTGCTATGAAGTTGGGCGCTGTTACGTGGTCTGGGAACCACGTCGAAGTATTTGTAATATGAAAGAATGTCCTAGGTCTTGAGTCTTGAGGCTTAGTGGGCCTTGCTCAACGAGAAGGGATCATACACACAGTGAAGAAGTCTTCAGACCACCACAGAGCACTGGTAGTTGATATGCTTGATTTATTTAGCACACTACACTTTTCTTTTACAACAGCAGTTCTACAGCAACTACTATAATTTAACACACATATACAAACTTGGATGGCCACAGCACTAGATAGCGATGGACAGTCTTCCAGCCTAATTGAGGAGCGTTAATTCTCCATTACTTGTGTGTCTCGTAGTCTCGACTCTTCTTCTCTCCTGTCATATGGGGATCAACCCCTTTAAATACTAAAGGATGAAGCAATGTCCTGGAATCTTCCCCTTTGAGAATGTTCCCGAGCTCTCGCTATTCTTGCTGCATGATGTAACACTCTAGAACCTTACAGATCCTTCTCAAAGCTTCTTTTAATTGTTTTTCTGATCGAGAGCATTCTGGAAGCTTCCTTTAATTAGGCTGATAGGGTGACATAAGCGGATCACATAGCACACCGGCCATTATAGAAGCTTCTAGTAGCTCTTATCTGCATTGTTTAGTTTATTGTAAAATTCCATCGATCGAGTCTAGGCTACAAATACACCTGATGGATATAGAACCAGTCACAGACAAGTAACTAAAATACACACATGCTATGAAGAAACCATTGGTCAGATCAAACAATAAAAAAAAAAAAAAGGTAAAGCTATCCCTGTAACAGGCCGTGAAGGCCCATAGGGTTGTGAGACGTTAAGGGTCCCACATTACCTTGACAGTCGGCTCAAAGATGGCGGTAAGGTTGTCAGTCTTACGCACCGGCCACGCTTCACTCCCCAGGAAAATCATTTAATTAATTCCTGGTACTCATTTCTGTTAGAGGCTGAGTAAACCCCAGGGTCTAGTGTGGTCGGAAGGATTAGGTCAATTGAAAAAATCCAATGACCTCATCGGGACTTAAACCCGCGACCTTCCGGCTTGTAGCATAGTACCTTAACCACTACACTACCGCATACCCCCATCAAACTATAAACCAATCTGAAGAAAGTCGTCTTCTGGGTTTTGGCGCTGTGTATTCTTCGTTTTGGCCGATGTTTCGGAGGAACGTATCGCCTCCATCTTCAGAGCAGGTGAATGGCTTGTGAATGCAGAGAGCAGTAGCTGTAATGATTAGGAAGTGAAAGGCGCTGCTTTATA